AATAATAACATCACCGAAACAACATAGCATAACATATAGGACATCAATAACATTGAAAACTTCCTTACTGAATAATTCTCACAGACAACAACATCAACACATCATAAACAATGACAACAACAGATTAATGACGTCACAAACAACAACACTTACCATCAAAGACGACAAAATCATAATATTTACCAAAAAAAATTTCTGTCTAGGTATATAGACTAAATACAAACAGCAAAGACATCGACAACAAAAACAACAACAGCAGCATTATTACATTATCATTGTCTACCTATTTGACAACAAAAACATCATCAACAACAACAACATCATCAACAACAATATCAACAAAAACATCAACTGCAACAACAACCGCATTATTACATTATCATTGTCTACCTATTTGACTACAACAACAACATCAACAAAAACATCAACTACAACAACAATACATCAACAGCAACGACTACGTCATCAACTACAACAACAACAACATCAACTACAACAACAACATCAGCTACAACAACGACATCCACAACAACAACAACTCGTTCTAAATCTCATTAAGTTTCTATTTATATCACGAGTTAAAAATATCTTTCTGTCAGATAAAACGCCGTGTTTGACAGTAATGATGATGATTATAATTATTAATAATAATTATTATAATTATATTTATTATTGTTGTTTTTGTTGTTGATGTTGATGTTGTTGTTGTTGTTGTTTTTGTACTTTTTGTTGATGTTGTACGATTATTTTGTTATTAATAGAATTTTACAAATGCACTCAACATATCAACATTCTTTAATCTTACTAGGAAAATCCACGCACACACACACACACACACACACACATAAACACACATTTCTACAAACACACACAATAATCATACACATACATTCACACATACATTCATACATACGTACATACATACATACATACATACATACATACATACATACATACATACATACATACATACATACATACATACATACATACATACATACATACATACATGCGTACATACATACATACATACACACACAAAAATGTCAAAAGAAATAACTGTAATCGTACTAAAATCGTAATATAATGAAAAAAACTATTTGTAATGAAAAAAAATAGTAATGAGATTTATATCCAAAAATTCACACATACACATGTAAATTAATATACACAGACATCGAAATATACATGTACAAACACACACACACACACATCATGCACACACACGCATACACACACGCGCATACATACACACGCACTGCTTATAAAAAAAAGATAGTTTTTTAGATAACTTTTGTGATTATTTCATCATCACCAAAAGATATCTAAGACCAAATTAAGCACATGCAAAATATAAGACAAATACACACACATATACACACATACAAATATACATAAATACACACACAAACAAACAAACAAACGAACGAACAAGCCTGTATACATAGACATACATTGTATTATAATTACACACCCGAACGCACGCACCCACACATAGCCATAAAGACACACACACACATACACACAAACACACACACACTCACTCAAATGCATAAAAAAATCAAACATTCATACATTAACAGACAGACAGACAGACAGACAGACATGCATACAAACCAAAATATTATAGAGAGAAACTTTTCTTCAGCATTCTATCATATCTAAAGTTGAGAAAAATGACACTTGGATAACATTACTCGTCGAACCACACTTTATAACCAATAGAATTGTAGAAGCGATAATAATAATAAATAATAATAATAAATACGAATAATAGTAAGAAGAAGATGAAGAAAAAAAATGATAGAAGTTTTAAGATGATAATAATAAAGGTAACAAAACTTTTAGGTATGGCAGTAATGATAGTAATGACGACGACGATGATGACGATGATAACCATTTGGCTTATGCCAATAATGATATAGGGTGAATAATAATAATAATAATAATAATAATAATAATAATAATAATAATAATAGTTATTGTTATAATTATATGCTTAGGTCCGCTGATTGCATATTAATGATAGGTAGGCGGATCTAAAAAATTTTGACGAGATTTTGAAAATATTTAAATTTTCCCGAAAAGCCAACTTAGGGGACCAACATTTGTGGTAGTAGTGTGGTAGACGACTATCTCTATGCTCTCCTACTCTAAGGATCTATGGCAGGTAAGTATCCAAAATCCAGATTCTGCAACAACAACAACAACAACAGCAACAACAGCAACAACAACAACAACAACAACAAGACCATCCTCCCTGCCCAAAATTTAGACGTATGATTTCAATCATAAAAATTATTACCATTATTATTATATAATATACATTTATTTAATATATATATAATATATCAATATATTACATAATAATTATTATATTATTATTATTGTTATTATTATCATAATTTTAAATGATAACTATTACTACTGCTACTCTGCAATCACCGCCAATGCCTGTGGTATCACTGCACAAAACACTACTGTGGATGTTACCAGTTCTTTTATTCATTTTTTAATTATTTATTTATTGTTATTATTATTGTTGTTATTATTATTACTGTTGTTGTTGTTATTTTTTATTTAAGTTATTTATTAATTTATTTTTTTTAGTATACAGGCTATGGTTCCAACGTTCAATTGGTCCGTATGAAGGGGACACTCGAAATTGTAGAGCGCTTGAAAAATGTTCGAGATGTTGTTTTTGTTGTTGTTGTTGTACGTGTTGTTGTTGTTGTTGTTGATGACGATATTGTTAATGTTGTTGTTGTGGTGGTTGTTGTTGTTCATGTTGTGGTTGTGGTTTTTGTTGTTGCTGCTGTTGTTGGTGATGATAATGTTGTTGTGGTTGTTGTAGTTGTTGTGGTCGATAATGTCGATATTGTTGTTGTCGTTGTTGTCAATAAAGTTGACGTCATTACTGGTGTAATTGCTGATACTTTTCGACGTTATTAATGTCATTTTCTGTATAAATAATATACGTAGAACTTGCTGTAATGGTTATTGGTGTAATTAAATATTCAAGTATTTTCTTTGCAGGTATTAAAAATATTTTTTCTTATTCAGCTATTTCTGGCTGGAGCTATCGTTGTAAATTCTTCAAATTTTCATCACTCCTGCCATCGTCATAAGTGTATCATAATGAATAAGTCACACACTAAACTCATGCACTGAATTCACTCACAAACAAACACACACACAAACACAAAAACACACACACAAACACAAACACAAACACACAAACACAAAAACATACCAATGTCGTAACTAGGACTCGCCGGTGGGACACTACCTCCAGGAGCATCCACTAGAGATAGAGCGAGAAAAAGAGAGAGAGAGAAAGAGAAAAGAGAGAGAGAGAGAAAGAAAAGAGAAAGAAAAAAAGAGATAGAAAGAAAAATTTCCAACATGAACAGATGAAAAAAACTTCCAAATTACGACGAGTTAACCAATTCAATCAGGGGCCTCCATTTTCTTGAGATCCAGGGTTTTCAGGCTCCAGAATCAACACACACATACACACACACACACGCACACACACACGCAAACAAAAACACAACAACAAAACTCTCGAATATACATTTCCGAAATTGTGCCCAAGGAAATTTACCGAAAGAGCTAACAATTTTGAAGTGATGAAATCATACAATTGAATTAATTATTTCAATGTTGTTGAAGGTTATTAAAAAGAAAATATTTGTTTTGTATGTGTTGTTTACGTGTGCGTGTGTGTGGTGTGTGTGTGTGTGTGTGTGTGTGTGTGTGTGTGTGTGTGTGTGTGTGTGTGTGTGTGTAGCATTTTTTATTTTAATATATTTATGGTCCATTAAATTTCGAGAATTTTGTACGTTTTAATGATGTAATTTCTCATCTTATCGTATAATTATTTATTCAAGTCTTGAAATATTTTATTAATCATAATAATTTTTATTTTTTTATTTTAGTATCATCAAATATCTTTCTAGATGTCTAGATATCTATCTAGATATCTATCTAGATATCTATCTAGATATCTATCTAAATATCTATCTAGATATCTATCTAACTAATTAAACATCATCTTCTTTTCATACACATCGTCAATAGCTTTTATCATATCATATTGGTATCAATGATGGCCATGATGATGTCAACTCAACAACATCATCACCATCCTCTTTCTCATCATCATCACAATAGGAATAAGAAAAAAGGTGAAGAAGATAATATTAGTAATAATAATAATAATAACAACAATTTTATGAACAATAAAATAATAATAATAATAATAATAATTGAGTACATGCTACGATCTTCTAAGAAAAAGTCGTTGATTTAAATCACTTAAGAACGTGAATAAAAAGACAGAAGTTATTATTATTACCATTTATTATTATTGTTATTGCATTGCAATCATCATCATCGTCATTATCATTACAATCGTCGTCATCATCATCATCATCATCATCGTCGTCGTTGTCATCATCATCATAATCTCGGCGTAAATTTCGACTGGTTTTTCCCTGACAGACAATGATGCCCATCCCATAGACTTAATGTTTTGTCATGTGTGTGCGTGTGAGTATATGTATATGTGTGTTGTGCCTGTGTGTGTGTCTGTGTGTGTGTTTGTGTGTCTGCGTGTAAGTGTGTGTGTGTGCGTGTAAGTGTGTGCGTGTAAGTGTGTATGAGTCTGTTTGTGTGTGTGTGTGTGCGTACACATGTGTTTGTCTCACGCTGTGTTGAATTTTTGGAAAATAAAATAAGAAAAAATAATTTCAGTCAGGCTGGGTGTTGCACCGTGGGATGTCTTGTTGCTGATTGATGGTACAATGGCGACGACACGAATACTGAAAAAAAAACACATAAACAAAAAGAACTTCACCGTCTACAATATCTTTCTTGTTTGGTTCGTTTGCGTGTGTGTATGTGTATGTATGTGTGTGTGCGTGTGTGTGTTTTATTGCGTAGATAAAACTCAAATTTTTGTGTTATATCACGCGATGCATTATACATACATACATATATTTTATTTAACTTTTCGATTTTTCTAACGGTTGATCGTCAATCATTTTCAAGTTTCTTTATACCAAAAGCAAAATTTTGTTTATTTTATGCATGATGAATAGGCACAGTATAAAAATGTTTGATCATCTGGCTACATACACAACGTATCAATTTGAACACCGAAAATAGGTTTTCTGTTCTATCATGCATACATAGAAACATGAAAGGGAACCATAAAATACAAAACACTCCATGGAGAAAACTTTGAAAAGTGCGTGCTAGTCAAAAAGGTAGAAGGGAGTATCGGCAGCAGACATCATGTTTCTTTTGGTCGCAGGCAAACCTTCTTATCTACCTCGTGTCACATAACGTTTCCGGTAAACCATGTGTATGTGTGTGTGTGTGTGTGTATGGGTGTGTGTGTGTGTGCGTGTTTGTGTGTGTATGTATGTGTGTGTGTGTGTGTGTGTGTGTGTAATATCGACAAAAAATCACAGGCAAAACTTCTGACACACCACGTGTTACTTTTAATGTTTCTAGATAGACAACGTGGGTGTGTGTTTGTATATGTGTGCGTGTGTGCGTGCGTGCCTGTGTGTGCGTGCGTGTGTGTGTGTGTCAACAAAACTTTCCCTTGTTCTTCCGATTCAAAAGAATAGAAGGGCAATATGTCATGAGAGCCATTGTGCCTATTGATGATAGGTTTTTGTTGTTAATGATATTATCGTTGTTGCAATATTATTATTATTATTATTATTGTTATTATTATTACTGTTTTTATTATTATATTATTAAATCATCATTTTTATAATTTTATTATTTTTATATTATTTTCTTCAACTTATATGGTAGCAGTAGTCAGTAGCATTTTGAATTTTTTTTTGCAAGCGAGTTCTTTTCTCCTCAACTTTTCGTTGGTTTAATGGATGCGTTATTGAAGTTATTACAAATATTACAATGGCTTGAAAGGGCCTTAGAAATGAATTAATGAAGGATAAAATGAGTAAATGAATGAATGGAAGAGCGAATGAATGACTAAATGGATTGTTGTCATTCTTTGAAATGATGATCGAATCGATAGGTGGATGGATGAATAAATGGTTGGATGGATAGATGTATGGATGGATAGATGGATGAATAGGTAGATGGATGGGTGGGTAGATGGATTAATGAATGAATGAAACTTATTTGATGGAATCCACAACGAAGACCATCCACTTACGATACGCGGGTTTATTTATACAGGACTTGAGTTTAGGAATAATTAGCCATTCGTTCGTCCAATAAATAACCCTTTTTAAGCGTGACGTTGTTCTGTTTACAATTGCAGCATACAAACGAATAAACAAACAGTAGGGATCAATAAAACAACTTTGCCAAAAATTTTACGAAAAAAATTGAAAAACCGGTATAAATATATATATTTGAATAAATAAATATATATATATATACAGAAAGAGAGAAAAAAAAGAGGGAGGATAAGAGAGAGATTGAGAGAGAGAGAGAGAGATAAAGAAAGAGAACGATATATAGATAAAATGAACTTTTTGTAAAAAAAAACTTCCATTTAAACAAATTTCAATTATTATTACAACTGAGGCGCCATCTAGAAATTGAATCATTTTTAATTAAATTATAAATTAATTAAATGAGTAAATAGGCAAGAAATATAATAAATATTATTTCACTGAGGAGAAAAAAAAATTAAATAAATCAGAAATAAAAGTCGTGACTTGCCCGACTCCTACAACTCATTCAGCTCTGCCCATCTATACTATACAACGAAGTCGTTGTTTTCTATAGGTGAGTCGTGGTGTATTTTTGGTTGGTTGTTTGTTTGTTTGTCTGCCTCTCTGTTTGTTTGTTTGTTTGTTCGTACGTTTGTTTGTTTGTTCGTTCGTTCGTTTGTTCTAGAAGCTAGCAGTTTTTTTCAGCCCATTTCACAGGCTGTTTGTTTAATTCGTTTGTTCTTTCAATTTGTTGGTTCGTTCATTTATTCTTTCATTTTTTTTATTCATTTAATCGTTCACTCAATTATTCAATCATTTGTTTGTCTATTTATTCATTCATTTGTTTGTTCATTCATTCATTCATTTGTTCAATCATCTATTCATATCAGTGTACACTTTTTTTATTAATATTTGATTTGATTATTTAAACCTTCTAGAATAAATTCAATATTTTTCCTTTTCTATGTTAGTTATTTGTTTAATAAGTCATTCACATTTTTATGCAACCATTAGTTCAACATTGCTTTCTTTCTCATCATCATCATCATCATTATCATCATCATCATCATCATCATCATCATATAATTATTGATAGTAGTAGTAGTAATATTATTATAATTATTATTAACATTAACAGTTTTGAACCAAAAATTGAACAACCAGCCAACCAGCCAACCAACTTACCAGCCAACCAGCCAACCAGCCAACCAACTTACCAGCCAACCAGCCAACCAGCCAACCAGCCAACCAACTTACCAGCCAACCAGCCAACCAGCCAACCAGCCAACCAGCCAACCAGCCAACCAACTTACCAGCCAACCAGCCAACCAGCCAACCAACTTACCAGCCAACCAGCCAACCAGCCAACCAACCAACCAACTTACCAGCCAACCAGCCAACCAGCCAACCAACCGACCAGCCGACCAGCCGACCAACCAACCAGCCAACCAGCCAAACAACTAGCTATTCAATAAACTGTATACTCAATCAATCATTCAACCATCTAACCAATCAATCAATCAATCTATTGAAATAAAAATTTTGAAGAAATTTTTACCGATCTTCTTCACATGAACTGAAGTATGACTGCCTAGTGAGAATTCTTAAATTATTTGCTCATGTCCATATTTTTGCCGTTACTACTATTATTGTCATTATTGTTTTGTTATTGTTATTATTATTATTATTATTCTGTTGTTATTATTATTATTATTATTACTTTATTGTTATCATTTTTTGTTTAATTTCTCGCAGTCACTACTTCTCATATTGAAAGTATCCATACTACTTCTCTACTAGTGCTACTGCTTTTAGAACTACTCCCACTACTAATATTACCACTACTACTACTACTACTACTTCTATTAGTACTACTACCACAACTATAACTGTCCTAATTAGTAAGACGCCTGTTTCTGCTGCTGCATTGTCCTGGTTCTAATGCAAATAGACCCCCGCCAAGTTACATACAAACAAATGTGTGCGACAGAGAGAGGAGAGAGAGAGGGTAAAAGAAAAAGAGTAAGAGAAAGAGAGAAAGAGAGAGAAAGACAGAGACACATAGAGAGAAAGAAGAAATAGAGAGAGAGAGAGAGAGAGAGAGAGAGAGGGAGAAAGACAGAGACACATAGAGAAAAAGAAGAAATAGAGAGAGAGAGAGAGAAAGACAGAAACACATAGAGAGAAAGAAGAAATAGAGAGAGAGAGAGAGAGAAAGACAGAGACACATAGAGAGAAAGAAGAAATAGAGAGAGAGAGAGAGAGAAAGACAGAGACACATAGAAAAAAAGAGGAAAGAGAGAGAGAGAGAGAGGGAAAAACATGTAGAGAGAAAGAGACAAAAAGACTGACGGAGAGAGAGAGTCGTGTTGATATTTAATTATATTGAAACAAATCAATTCTAATAAATTGAAATAAAATTGAATTAAATCAATTGAAAATTTTCAACATGATATTTAGAAAAATTTTTTTTCAAACACCAGCTTCTCAAAATGCCTCGCCTATGCCATTGCAACCGTGAGTATCACCGATGTAATTGATTGATACTATATCAATTAATTTAATTATCATTTGATTTTTAGTATCATCATTGCCACCAAAAATTCACCATAATTACCATCATCATCAGCATCTACGTCATTTTCGACGTCATCATCATCATCATCGTCGTCATCATCGTTACCATTACCTTCGCCATTACATGATGATGATGATGTAGATTATGAAGATGATGATGATGAAGATTGAAAAATGATGGTGGTGGTGATAAAGACTGATGGTGGTGATGAAGAAGAAGATGATGATGATGGTGATGATAATGATGATGATGAGGGTGGT